AAAAAATGTTTAAGGAGGAGAGAGAGCAAATAAATCTGTTTAACATCTGATCTTTGGGTTTTTGTTCAGTAATCAGCGTGACCTGTGTATAAACGCATAAAAGAGATAACGTTGGTGTTTCTGTCATGTAGTAACTGCTGGTGTGCCGATAGTGTTAGGGCAGCTGTCCCTTTAAGAGTTCTGATACCTGGTGACATCACAGGAAGCAGGAAGTAGTAAGGTTTAGTGAAGTTTGCACATGGCCAAGGAGACTGCCATGAATCCACATGCATCTGCCTTCAATCCTTCGTCTTTTGGAGCATCGTCTGTATGTATATTGTTTATTTGATGCTTATCTGTAGTTCTGTGGTTGTATTTTGTGACATGAGGGAAGTTTAATGTGTAACTTTGATACGTTGTTGAAACCACATGTTTAGAGCACGGCTAATGCTTATTCTTGCAGCTAAAGTGCTACGCTATGTTGATTTAGATTATTGTAGACTTGTAGGTACAGTGTATATGTAAGATTTAAAGAATATACTGTAATTGTAATTGTGTTATGTTTGTTTCAGTTTCACACTTTCTACATCATTAAACCTGTGGACAAAGAGTAATGGTCTTCAGAGTCTTGATGGAAGAAAAGTGTTGAACCTTGCTGCTGGTTCCTCTTCTGTGCAGTGTGAAGAGGGAAAGACAGTACAGTGAAAAGACGTTGAGTTACAGACAAGGTAACACAGTGCATGTGACAACAGCTACTGCTACCACGCTACATAGCCTCTACTCGCCTACATTATGGATTCAAAGCCATCGTCAGTGAAGACACGGTCTTATGCTTCTATGTCAACCACACGTTCTCATGGATCGGCTACCAGCACTGCAGCTGCAAGAGCTAGGGCTAATGCTGAAGCAGCAAAGGCACGTTTAGCGTTTGCAGAGCAAGAAATGAAGTTAAAAATGGAAAAGGCTCGTCTAGAAGCTTCTATAGAAATACTGACCACAGAAAAGGAAACTGCTGCAGCTGTAGCAAAGGCAGAAGCTTTAGAAGCAGCGGTTGGCGTTAGTGAAGGAAAACACAGTTGTAAACTTCCTCTCATTGCAACATCAGTCGACTCTGTTGAGCGTACAAAAGAGTATGTGGAGAAACAAGCTGAAGTATCAAGAGACATCCAGATGGCATCACAGGAGGATTTACCCTTGCAGGATGAGACACAGCAGCCGCTTCCTGAGGAACCTTTGCATAATACGGTGTGCATGCCCCGTCTCAATTCGCTGAGTGATGGTCCACCCAACGCTGCTATTACTGTCTTTGATACTCCACTGCCTCCTCCATGTAAACAAAATAGCCTTAATCCCTTTGTCACATCAGATGTGAATCGCAACTCAGCTCAACAGACAGAGCACCACTACTACGGAGTACTCAAAGAAAATGATTATGAAGATTTTCTAAGGCCTTCATGCAGTGTAACTGCACATCAGCCACCCTGGAAGACCAACAGCGCCATGGAAGCTCTTCCCCATCACCCATCTCAGCGGCCTAGTTACTCCACTGATCCACATGTGACATACTTTGTCAGATTTCTAGCACGACGTGAGCTCGTTACAAGTGGTCTACTACAATTTAACGATAGACTTGAAAACTACAGGGCCTGGCGACGTTCATTCCAGAATGCGGTGAGAGACTTGAATCTAACAAGTGATGAAGAAATGGATCTTCTTGTCAAATGGCTGGGAAGTGAATCAGCTGAGCATGCAAAGCGTATTAGGTCCATCCACATAAATCAACCAGCTAAAGGGCTGAGCATGATCTGGAACCGACTAGATGCTTCTTACGGTTCATCTGAAGCTATTGAGAAAGCTTTGTTCCAAAAACTGGATAGTTTCCCCAAAATTGGCAATAAAGACTACTCCAAGCTCCGGGACCTCAGTGATTTACTGATGGAACTAGATG